AAAACAGCATGGTAGTGGTACAAAAACAGGCGCACAGATCAATGGAACAGAATTGAAAGCCCAGAAATAAAACCACACATCTATGGACAGCTTATCTTTGACAAAGGAGCTGAGTGCATAAAATGGAGAAAAGAAAGTCTTTTCAACAAATGGTGCTGGGAAAACTGGAAAGCCACATGTAAAAGAATGAAAATTGACCGTTGTTTTTCACCATTCACAAAAATAAACTCAAAATGGATCAAAGACCTAAAGGTGAGACCTGAAACCATAAGGCTTCTGGAAGAAAACGTAGGCAGTACACTCTGACATCAGTATTAAAAGGATCTTTTCGGACACCATGCCTTCTCAGACAAGGGAAACAATAGAAAGAATAAACAAATGGGACTTCATCAGACTAAAGAGCCTCTTCAAGGCAAGGGAAAACAGGATTGAAACATAAAAACAACCCACTAACTGGGAAAAAATATTTGCAAGTCATATATCTGACAAAGGCTTAATATCCATAATATATAAAGAACTCTCACAACTCAACAACAAAAAATCAAACAACCCAATAAAAAAAATGGGCTGGAGACATGAACAGACATTTCTTCAGAGAAGATATACGGATGGCCAATAGGCACATGAAAAGGTGCTCATCATCGCTGATCATGAGGGAAATGCAAATCAAAACTACACTAAGATATCGCCTTACCCCCATTAGAATGACAAAAATATCTAAAACTAATAGTAACAAATGTTGGAGAGGTTGTGGAGAAAAAGGAACCCTCATACACTGCTGGTGGGAATGCAAACTGGTGCAGCCACTATGGAAAACAGTATGGAGATTCCTCAAAAAATTAAAAATAGAACTACCATACGATCCAGCCATCCCACTACTGGGTATTTATCCAAAGAGCTTGAAGTCAACAATCCCCAAAGTTCTATGCACCCCAATGTTCACTGCAGCATTATTTACAATAGCCAAGACATGGAAGCAACCTAAGTGCCCATCAACAGACGAATGGATAAAGAAGACGTGATACATACATACAATGGAATACTCTAAGCTGCAAAACAGAACAAAATCATTCCATTTGCAATAACATGGATGGACCTTGAGGGAATTATGTTAAGTGAAATAAGCCAGCTAGAGAAGGATAATCTGTGTATGACTCCACTCATATGAGGAATTTAAAATTATGGACTAAGAACAGTTTAGTGGATACCAGGGGAAAGGTGGGGTGGGGTGTGGGCACAAAGGGTGAAGTGGTGCACCTACAACACGAATGACAAACATTAATGTACAACTGAAATTTCACAAGATTGTAATCTATCATTAACTCAATAAAAAAATAAATAAAATTAAAAAAAATAAGAAGCATAAAAAAAAAGAGAGCCAAGAATACTCAGTGGAGAAAAGATAGTCTCTTCAATAAATAGTGCTGGGAAAATGGGATATTCTCATGTAAAAACATGAAACTAGACCGTTATCTTACACCACTCACAAAACTTAAGTCAAAATGGATTCAAGACTTAAATGTAAGACTGGAAACCATAAAACTCCTAGACTATAACATAGGAAAAAAGTTCCTTGCCATGGGTCTTGGTAATGACCTTTTGGAAATCACTTAAAGTACAAGCTAAAAAGTAAAAACAAAACAACCCACGTGGGACTACATGAAACTAAACAGCTTCTGCACTGAAAAGAAATGACCAATAAAATGAATAGACAACCTACAGAATGGGAAAAAATATATGCATGTTCTCTATTCATATATCTATTAAGATATATCTATTAATAGATACATTTCATATATCTGTTAAGAGGATAACATCTAAAATATATAAAGACTTCATACAACTCAATAGCAAAAATGAATAATAATAATCCAATTAAAAAATGAGCAAAGGACCTGAATAGACATTTTTTTAAAGAAGATACACAGCCAACAGGTACATGAAAATGTGCTCAGAATCATAATCATTAGGGAGATACTAATCAAAACCATAATGAGCTATCACCTCACATCTGTTACAATGTCTATAATCAAAAAGATCAAGAGAGAAATGCTTGTGAGGATGAGGAAGAAAGGGGAACCCTGTTCACTGTTGGTGGGATTGTAAATTGGTACAGACAGTATGGAAAATAGTATGGAAGTTGCTCAAAAAATTAAAAATAGAACTACCAGCAATTCCACTTTGGGGAATATTTTTGGGGAAAATTAAAACACTATGTTGAAGAGATAGGTGCACCCCCACGATCACAGCAGTATTATTTATGATAGCCAAGACGTGGAAACAACCTAAGTGTCCACTGATGGATAAATGGATAAAGAAGCTGTGGTATATGTATACGAGGGAATAATACTCAGCCATAACAAAGAAGGAAATCTTGCTATTTGCAACAACATGGATGGACCTTGAGGGAAATCTGCTGAATGAAATAAGACTAGAAGGGCTGGTGAGAATACCTGGAAGCTGTGCGAGGCAGCAATGCTCAAGCCAAGAGACAGGCAGACAGAGTAGGTAGTCTGCAGAGCAAAGCCAGTGGCCCTGTTCAGCCAGGGAACTTGGAGCAAGAGTCAGCTTGAGTTAAGAGAACAAAGAGCTTTACCAGCTTTGGCGCCACTTCTCCAGATGCTCCCGGGCGAGGAAACTATTTCATAGCTCTGCTCATGGTGGGATATAGCCTTTAGCTTGCCCAGCCAGGGAACCTAACCAGAGCACACTGGAAGTTGCGTGGCCCATCCAATAGCCCTGCCTATAGTGGCACATGAACTAAAAGCCCAGCTCATGGCTTTCCCCTTTGCAGAGTCAAACTGATGGCCTCACCTGCCCATGGAATTCAGGGCCCACTCTTGCCTGATTCTGGTCCCTAAACAATGAGCCATAGAAGACCTGGATCCCATCCTGCTGCTCTGCCGGGAAGCATAATTATGTCTGAATACAAACAAAATATAAATATTTTCCAATCAGAAAAATTGACCAAATATCCCCTTATTGGGCTAACATGAGTGGGAGTAGCTGTTGCTTCTTAACCAATTAAAGCTTCAGGGCTGTTCTAGTCTTCCCTTCTAGGTAAGACTTAAGATACACAATCATAGCATTACCCATACTTACTGATTGCAGGCAAACCAGAGCAAAGTCCTGCTTCCTAAAACCTCCCCCAAATCCCCTAACACAAGCCAAAATCTTACAAGGCCTTTCTAATGCCCTTGTACAGAGATGCCCCATGCTTCCCCATAGCGTGTGTTCTGCCTCACTGCGATTACTAACTTGTCTAACCACAGGTGTGTTCACAGTGGTCTTCGGCAGGAAGGCAATGACAGGAGGAAATGAACTCACTACAAGTGAGGTCAGCTCTCCTCAGCTGAGCAGTTTCTTCCCAGTGTTATACTAACAACAGCACAATGGCTTCCACAAACATACTTAGAAGGCTGAACACCTTCTTCATAATTCCTATAATATCCCCAAATCCAAGCCATTGCTTTAATGGAATGTGTGTTATCATGACAAACTGGAAGTCCATGAGAAAGAATCCTTTATATGTTAATCAAAAAAAAAAAAAAAAAAAAGAAGATGCAGGGTAATAAGGGAGCAAAGGAAGAGAACAAGAGAGATATAGGGAGGTCTACTCTAAGAAATAGAAGGAGAACATTAAGCATTCTCTATCACAGGAAAAAACGGCTTCCAGAACTCCGTACATAGACTACAAAAAGAGTAGAAAGGTACCGAACACTTGATGTCCTTCATGGCAAAACTATTTCAAATCCTGCACAGTTGCTCTATGCTTGTGACACGAAATTTCAAGTAAACAATTTGAAGTTTAAAGTGGTTATTCAATGACAGTGCACTAAAAGAAGTAATTCAGAAAAAAATAATAGAAGAAAATAAACTTTTATGTAAAGAATTTTTCAACACAAGGTAGTTTACCTGTAATGGAACTGGAGTCGTAAATTAAAGATTAGATTCCATGTCCTGAAACTTGTAACATTGACACCCTTAACATTTTTAATCCTCTTTGCTAAATACATACATATATTAGGAAAAGTAGGAGATATACACCCTACTTCAGAAGGTTAATGTGAGAATCAAGTGAGCTTAGTATATGAAAATACAACCTCTCTAACGGAAACTATTTTATTGAGATTTTCAAGTGCAATTTACATATATTTTATTTTTATTCAAATTGTTAAGTAGTAGAACCTAATCACGATAGGTGCCAATACTATATGCCAAAATAGAGTTAATGGATTCTTTTTTCTTACTTACTCTTATTTCACAAATTTTTCCTTCAACCTGAAAACATCTTTTCCTCATCCCTTGACCACAACACTTTAGCCACGTGGAAATCTAAATCCCTGTATTGTGCCTTATGGCTAGTAATATAAAACACTGTAACTGCCAGTTTGAAGTATTTTAAGCAGGAAAATATTAGACTGAATGCATTCAATTTAATCACTTTTTAATACAGCAGATAAGCATTTTGTTCAACTTCTTTTTCCAGTTAATATTTATTTATTGTGCAATCTTTTCCATCATAATCAGGCAAATGTGAGATTTTTATTTTTCCTTTTCTTTCTTCCTTTCTTTCTCTGGCCATTACTTCTACTAAGTCTGATGCTTCTGGGTCAAAATCTGCAGGTCTAAATTGTGCTCAAGACCAATTTCTCTGCCATTTAGTGGCCATTAACAAATTTTTATAAATTGCAGGCTAGACCATAGTTACATACATTTCATACTGATTTTTTTTCTATCAGCATGATTCCTGAAAACTGTTCAATATTTCTTGGAAATTGTGAACAAGTACATCAGAAGAGATGGAGAGATGACGGGACGGGGACAGGACTGAGCAGCAGACAGTGGGGAAGGGAGGATCCAAATGTGCTAAGAGACAAAAATAGTACAGTGAAAATATTTTGCTTGAATAGAAATCAGTATGATCTGACTGTAATACAAAGTAAATAAAAATAGTCTTAACATTTTAAATTATACAACAAGTATTCTTGGTCATTTACCTGCTTCTCTAAACCTTCACTCTCGTTTGACTTTATCTTCCGTGGAACTGTGACCTGCAGGAATACCCCTTCAGAATCTGCAGTAAGAAAGTGGGTGTTTTTGTAACAATATCGACTCGGCAAAGCATGGGGTCCTAACCCTGAGTCCATGGGGGGTCTGAAATTGTGAGTAAACCCTCCTTGGTCCACAGCTTTCACTAGATTTTCAATGGCACATTAGAAATGACTAAGGTATAAACAAATAAACAAAAATTAGACATTGCAGTTCTACGGGACCATCCTGTTTGTTTGCAGGACCACGCTGGAGCCTGTTTCCCTACGGACTCTGGGGAATAAGCTGAGGGCAGCAAACACCCCCCTAAATCCTCTGGCCACAGAGTAGCTGACCCAGGAAGACCGGCTGCTTTTCAGCTGCTGAGACCGTGGACCCCTGATGCAGAGAGAGGACTCCTTGGCTGACATCCTCAGTCACCTGGTCTGGTCTGTGGGGTGGGGAGACACGGAGGAAGGCACCAGCAGGGGATCCGGGAAGGGGGCTTTAGGGGTCCCAGAGCTACAGGAAACTGTTCAGCAGGAAGATCCCAGCCCTGCTCTGAAGCAAAAGGAGAAGGAAGTTCAGGCTGCTCTGGTCTTACCCAGGCGGGCATGCAGCCTTCCAAGCTCAGCGAGCAGGGCAAGGAGAAGGAACATGGCTGCGCCAGAGCGCAGGAAGCACGGCCAAGGTTGAAGGCGGTTGGCGGCTCTCAGGCTCGCGGGCACCAGGCCTCAGGAGGACAGCGCGCCAGCTTGGGCCCCTGGGCAAAGGGCTGCAGCTGCTTTCAGCCGCGCTGCTCCTCCTTAGGGATGCTGAGCGGCCGGGCACTTCCACCAGGTGGGGAGGGGAAACGCCAGACGCAAGCATATGCGATTGTAAACAGCCGGTTTGTTGGGGCCAAGTTTACAATGTTTAAACCCTTCAGTAGTGACGTGGGGCAAGTAAGCATGATTAGCTTTTCTGGTGAAGTTCTTAGTAATTTCGTTTCTCCATGACACAGTTTTCTGCCATTTTTTATTTACTGTGGTAGGGGAGAAAGAGGAAAATAGAAATGTTAATTTTTAGGAGAAATTTTCTACTTAAGTCATGCCGATGACAATAATTTATTCTTTGCAAATAAAGAAAAAGTGAGAATATTGAACTTGATCTGGCTAAGGCAATTTAAAAGCACTTTTCTTCAGCTGAGTGCCTGTTCTTACAGTGTTCGATTATAATCGATGGAGGAGAGGGAAAGGAAACTTGAAGACCCAACCTAAGTGTGTTTTGTTAACAATTACTTTAAAGCGCTAAGGAGGCTGGAGAGATGGGAAGGGCAGCACGACAAATGGAGAGAGGAAAATGACACCACTGGAGAAGAAAGAGCAGGCAGTTGTCTGAATTTTCTGACAAATATCTGAAACTGCACAAAACCTAACTCAACTTCTATCCCATTCCTCACCCAAACCTTCTTTTATCCCAGTACACCCTATGACAAGGATGACTCGTGGCAGCAGTTGCAAAAATAAACTCTGGCCAGGTGTAAAACCTGGACCTACCAGGTAGTAGTACACCTGATAACACTGATCCTCAGAGGTTATCAGAATAAAGCAGGCCCGTGATCATAATGCCCCAAATGAGTGCAGTGAGGATGACGGAAACTTAGGGAAGAATGAGTCCTATGTGTACTTTTTTACCACACAATTCACCCACTTGAAGAGTACAACTGAATGATAGTAGGACTTTTAGTATCTTCACAGATATGTGCAACCACTACCACAGTCAATTTTAGTTTCATCATCTCAAAAAGACATCCTGTACCACTTGGCTATCACCACCCCTCACCTCAGCTCTTAAATCCCCCAGCCCTACTCCCAGCCCTAAACAACCACTGATCTTTGTCTCTAAAGATGTCCCTGTCCTGGACATTTCATACAAATGAATCATGTTTGGTGTTTGTGACTGACTTTATTCACTCAGCATAATGGTTTCAAGGTTCATTCATGTTGTCGCAGTATCACTGCTTTGTTCCTTTTTATGGCTAAATATTCCATTGTATGGATAGACCATATTTTGTTTATCCATTCATCAGTTGAGGGACATTTGGTAAAGGAAACTCTTGGGCTCTGTGGTGAGGTACTCCCACCCTTGACCCAGGAGCATCTTTGTTTATTGATGGAGGCTCCATAGGTCCTATTAGACTCCAGGTAGGCTGATGGTTCCTCAGTCCATGTAGAATGCTTTGAGGTGTCCAGAAGTGCACTCATCCAGTAAGAGGGAGATGGGGAGAGGGAGCACTGAAGCAAGAAAATCTTACCCAGAAAAGCTCAGTTTCAGTGAAGAAAGAGCAGCAAGTCGGGGTTCCCCCAAAGGACAAAGATATATCCTAGATCTCAATTTACATGAGGCCAAGGACGTATCCCCTGGAGACAGAACAGTTATCTATGATTAGGAACTCAGTTTGAGCAATTCTTTGAAGATAGAATGGATGCTAGTGACTATCTGGGGGCTCTAGGGCTGGCCATACCTAGTAACACTTCCTCTCAATATCCCAAAGCCGGCAAAGGACAGAGCAAGGGAATCATGAACTATTGGAGAGGTGCCGACTGTAGGTGTCCTCTCTTGAGATGTGAGCAGTTAGTGTAGGCATCTGAGGGCAGGCAGTTAGCATGGGTATCTGAGGGCAGGCAGTGAGCATGGACATCTGAGGGCAGCAGTGAGCATGGGCATCTGAGGGCAGGCAGTGAGCATGGGCATCTGAGGGCAGGCAGTGAGCATGGGCATCTGAGGGCAGGCAGTGAGCATGGGCATCTGAGGGCATGCAGTGAGCATAGGCATCTCAGGGCAGGCAGTTATCATGGGTATCTGAGGGCAGGCAGTGAGCATGGGCATCTGAGGGCAGGCAGTGAGCATGGGCATATGAGGGCAGGCAGCAGCAGTGGACAATGGATTGTTTTCAGCTTGGGATGTGACAGCCTCCCAGGTTCGAAAGAGGCAAAGCTGCTTATTTCCTACTAAAGGATCCCAGAGGGGAGAAGAATCAATAGTCACAAACCTACATAATTTTCACTCACAGGATTTATTTTGGTTTGTGAAAGTGAAAGATCTAAATCATAGCAAAAGGACAGAGAAAGCAGATTTTCTCATTCTTGGATCAGGCCGGTTAATGGTGAGTTTCTTAGTAATATCCTTTCTCCAACCTCTAGCTTTTTGACATTATTGTTTACTCACTGTTCTGAAATAAAGAAAGAAAAATAGAAATACTAAGTTTTAATTGTTAACAAAAGCTGTCTAATTTTACTACACAACTACAGGTATAACAATTAATTAGTGCAGTAAGACCCTGGTTATAGTGTCACAATCTATGCCTGTGCTCCACAAAATATGTAAAGCCAAGTTCCTTTTCCTGAATCATTTGTGACAGCCACCTTAAAAGGAAATATTATAAACTGATGTTTGTGTATGTTTCATTTACACGGTCTCTATACTGTACGTGGGTAAAACCATTCTTCACTCCCCTGCACTTCCTCACTCCACACCAAACTGGTTCTTACTCTACTGCACAATATGTCACTAGTAAAAGGTGTCATTATCCATGGTGTCAGAAATGTTTGTCTTTGTAGTTCTCTTTTATTCCAACCCACATATGTCCATCCAGTCACCACTTCGCTTGAGTCTACCTCTATTATTTCTCAAGACTTTTCTGTTCTTTTCCTCTTATCCAAGCTTGCCCTCACCACACCTTTCCTGTGGATTCTGTAGTCTCAGCTGTTTCACTGGTCTCCAGTTCTGACTGAATCCGACTGAATTCTCCCCTACCTTATCCCAGTGGAATTTGTAAAAAGCAAACCATACCATGCTGCATCCCTTCTTTACGACCTCAAAATTGGTTTAACTATGTTCTTATTCATATATGGGAAAACTTAAACTCCCTATCATGGCATCCCAGACACTTGTCTTGGCTCCCTATTACCTATGTATATTTTATCTCTCATAAATTTTAAAATGTATTAAGAGCACAAACTTAGCAACAGGGAGGTCTGGCTTTACATTTTACCCTTGCTATCTTCCTGCTTTATATCAATAAACATTATTTAAACACTTTTTATTACACTCTACATCCACACTGTCAATTAATCCTGTTGGTTCACCTTCAAAATTTATTCCTAAAGCCATCCTCACTGTCCCTGGTCTGAGGTACTATCCTTTCTCTCCTGGATTAGTGCAGTAGTTTCTGCACTAACTGGTTTCTCTACTTCTACTCCTGCCATCATACAGACTACTTTCAACAACCCAGACATTAAAAGTGTAAGTCATGTGCTTGGAATCTAAATCCTCCAGTGATTCTTCCCTTTCAAACAGGGTAAAACACAGATGGCCTCCAAGACCTCCCAAATCCTACAGGAGTTTGATTTCTCTGACCTAATCACCACCGCAGCCCTCTTGCTAACTCTGCTTCCGATACATTGGAATCACTGTTATTCATCAAACATTCCTGACATTTTTTCATTGGATCACCATGTGCTTGGAAAGCGCCTGCCCAGATGTATGCATGGATAGCTCTGCCGGCTCTACGCCTGTGGAAGATAGAGTTGATTTACAACTGGAGTGGAAAAGGTCTATCTCTATGTCTGGGAAAGGCTGGATGTCTGGTTTCACTTTGTGCCAAGATAGGGGCAGCGGGATTTAAGATGGGATATCTAAAATTTAAAATAAGGAACCTTGAGACCTTGAGCACCAGGTGCCTCTTTGACCCCCAATGCTTGCCTGTACTCTCTCCTGCTGCGCTGCATCCTTTGCATTTACATAAAGCCTTATGTGAGCGGCCCCTGTGAAGTCAGATGACTCACTTCAAATGTCTAAACTGGGTAAATACTTGCACCTCCTCCAGTTATTTGCTTACATGTCAGTTAGTAAGGCCTACTCAGTCAACCATATTTCAAATTGCTATCCAGTTCCTCCCTCAGCATCAACTCTCCCAATTATGCCTACTGCTCTAATCTTTTCCATATAATTAATCACCTTTCAATACACTAGATAATAAACTTATAAAATATGTTTATTACTTATGGACTGATGCCTAACCCACTATCTCAAATTCTTGAGGCAAGATCTTAATGTAACTATAAAGTGCTATTGGCAGGAGAAGGCTGTGAAAAAATAGTAAAACAAGATATTGAATTTATGACAAGAGTTGGAAGAAATCAGGGAATTGACAAGCTCACTATATTGCTTTGGAGAAAATGACTGAAGTTGGGTGGTGTGAGGAGTTCAGCATGATGGTAAGACCATGACTGAAGGATGTGAGAGGAAGACAGTGAGCCAAGAGCCAAAATCCTTGCCTAAGATGTGGGCTTTTAATAATGTTATCAAAGAAGAGGTAGAGATTGTTCTCGGCAGAAATAAGACTATTTTACTTTGAGGGTAGGAGTTATAAATGTTTTCTGGTGGCAGTGTATCTCTGTTTAGAGATCCATTGACCTAACTCTGGATCGAAGTCAGATATGGGAATTAGTGGATAGGTAATTGGATTAACTCTTGATCTCACTCTTGGTTGAATTTTTGATTTTTTCCATTTACTCCCAGTGACAGGTCTAATATGAGAAATATCATGATTTCTTTACACACATGAGTTAGACATTTGAACAATATATGCAGATGCCTTCTTTATCCCATTTTACAGTAAAGAGTTGTTTTTCTGCCTTGGAGGGAGAGTGCCTCTAGCATTTTGCCTGGCATCTAATAGGCCCTCAATAAATGTAAATTCCATTCCCCATTCTCAGTCATGTATCAAGCCATATGTCAAAATCATGGGGTTCTTAA